CCTATCAGCTCATTACAAAAAAGTTACAAAAAAAAATAACTGGGGGCAAAAAAAATGGGTTTTAAACAAAGCCGCGGCAAAAATTCTTACGATCAGCGACCTTTTTTCTCGATTTTCTTTTGAACCGTCGAAATTAGAGGAAAATGTCTATAGACCTTTATAAAGGGCGTAAAATTTCCTATCAGCTCATTACAAAAAAGTTACAAAACAAAAATAACTGGGGGCAAAAAAATGGGTTTTAAACAAAGCCGCGGCAAAAATTCTTACGATCAGCGACCTTTTTTCTCGATTTTCTTTTGAACCGTCGAAATTAGAGGAAAATGTCTACGGGGACCTTTTTAAAGGGCGTAAACAATAACGATTAAAAAAAGAACGATTTTATGACGAAACCCGAGAAATTTTCCGTCTTGCTCAATGCAACTCCATGTGGAGATAACGGCGTGAGGACAGTGACTGGAGCCCCGATGCAAATTCGGAGGTTACAGCGCGTCACCGATGGATGACTGTTGCCGCATGCGAATTCGGAAAAAGTGGTGACCGCGCGTTCCGGATACCCACTGTCTATAGGTTATAATGTCTTTGGGCAGCGGAGAGTGACTGGGAGGGAAGGGCACGAGCGGCGCCGCACAATGGTATGACTCCGGCGGGAGCGCGCGAAACCTCCGGTTACGCACATAAAACGGCGAATATCTCGAAAACCGCACATGTGATCTTGTTTGGCCTATTGGAACTTTTGTTCACGATGACATGCTGCACAACATACTGAAGTTTCAACGCATTTGACAGAGGGCCATTTTCCATAAGAACCGTGCGGGGTCCTTTCGGTTTTTTTTAAAAATCTAACTTCAAATTCGTTTTTCTCGTGTCAAAATACCCATTCATACCGATTTTCGTGCAAATCCATCGACAAATAACCGATGTGAATTTTCGGCCATTTTGAACTATAACCGGCCGCCATTTTGAAACGGTTTGAGATATTGACTTCAGGTTTGCGCGAAAAGTTTTCTTTTTTTATGTTCTTTCAAACGAGCTATCACAAAGGGGGTCTTCCCATTTGAAAATTAAAAGTTGGGGCCGTTGCCCCCCAAGGGGGGCCCCCTGAAAATTTTAGGGGGGCCAAAAAGTAGCTCCCTTTGACCTAGGAATATCCCTTAAGTTTCAAATCTTTACCTCAATTAGGTAAAAAGTTAGAGGGGGTGGAAGGGACTTTTGGATCACCCTGTATTCTCCGCGCGCAGAAAAATCGATATATCGAAAAAAAGGCGCGCGGAATTATTTTCCGGTGCAGCGCCGGAAAAAACAGTTTTGACACGATCGGCGAGCAGGAATCGATATATCGAAAATTCTGCGCGCGGAACAGATTTGGAGCGCCGCGCCGGAAAAAATAGTTTTGACACAAACGGCGAGCAGGAATCGATATATCGAAAATTCCGCGCGCGGAACTTATTTGAAGCGGCGCGCCGACAAAAATAGTTTTGACACAAACGGCGCAAATATATCGAAAACCGGCGCGGAATCCGGAAATTCAGAGATTTTCATCGAAAATGGGTTTTTTCTTTCCGCGGCACGCCGAAAAAAAATCCGCGCTACGGAAAAAATTCCGCGCGCAAGAAAAGGGTTTTGACACTAACGGCGTTCCATACACAGAGACAACAGACCCCCCACTGGCCTCCTAGCGACAGGTGGAAGCTTTTACTTTCAGGGTTTCAACAATTCCTTATGGACAATTATTAGGGAGCAACAGTCATCATCCTAGTTTTTTGCTGTTGACTTACCTACATGGTCGATGATGAGCTTCGGATGACGTCATGAGCCAAACAACTTTCCCAAACGTCGGCCATTTTCGGCTTGTTTGCGAAACGAAACTGCCAACACGTTGTTGAACATCAACCATGTAGGTAATTCAACAGTAGAATGCTGAAGTCCCGAAAGTAAAAGCTTCCACCATGGCCAAGACACTAGTGGAGGGTAGAGTGGTAGAGTCCCTTTATACCCAGAGTTACGACAACTCGATTATCAGCTGACTGGCAGCCGTCCTTGGCTGGCCAGGGAAGCCGAAACGAGTGCACCCAAACGAACGATATTGAGGAATAAGGATCAGGAATCCTGCGATGTCTGTCACACAAAAACAACAACATCAACAAAGTGATCAATTAAAAAGAAAATGAGATTGGTTTGTGAATAATTTCTTAATCTATTTTCATTTTGGACCTATGGAAATAACAATTTACTCTTGATAAACCACAATTAGGTAATATTTTCATTATTCTTGTTCACATTCGAGGTACCGCCATCTTGGTGCACTCGTTTCGGCCTCCATGAGCGAGAACCAATCAGAATTGGATTTTTTTTTAGGCCACTTTCAGCCCAATCCTGGCCCAACCAAAAGTGAGTTGTCGTAACTCTGGGTATAGAGGGACTCTAGTGGAGGGTCTCTTGTCTCTGTCCATACACTTATTAAATCTAGAGTCCCTTTATACTGAGAGTCAAGACAATTTGAATCCATTTCTGATTGGTTCCCGTATTTTAGGCCTCCACAGCGTCACAAACGGGAATAAAGATTACATTATTACCGATTGCAAAGATTATAATCTGGAATTAACCAGGGAATTACGGGTTCGGCAAGGAACAAACGGAATGAGAGTTGGAAACAGGAGGTACAGAGAAAGGAATTTGAGAATGGGCCGATCAAAGATTACGAAAAACGTTCAATTTCTGTAATCTTTATTCCCGTTTGTGACATCCACGAGCCGAATAGTCTTAACTCTCAGTAGTAAAGGGACTCTAGTTAAATCGGGCGTCAGCGCTCAACAGCGCATCGATGACCCTCACTTTCGGCTCACTTGTAGCAAAACTTGCAACGTGTGCAAAGGGCTCAGAGGGCTTAACGGACGGGACCCTCATTCATCTCAAAGGAGATTTACACCATAATAGAGTACTCTATTATGATTTACACAGGTATGGAAAAGTTGAAAATTTCCCATGAGCCTCAGTACGTTAGAGTACCTGTATACCGGGAGTATGGACAGATCGCTTCATGGAGGGCTTAGGGCCCAAAAGTGCAGCCACCCTTCTAACCAACTTCTAACGCACATAATTTCACTGCCAGTCTGTAGATTCCAATTCTAACGAAGATGGCGAAGAAAGTACTTAAATGAGCGTTCTTCCACAAAAATGAGTAAAATTATGCAAAAACTAAGTCAAATACGTGCTTTATAAACGATGGTTCGTAACAGTTGTATTGATAAATCGCTCTGGATAATTGAAATTCATAGGTTGGCTGCATTTCTGGGCCCTAACTTTATTCGCGGAGGCATCGGTGAAGGCCTGATGGATTTTCGGAGTTTCACATCTGTCTGTACTCTCGCTATACAGGTACTCTACAGTACGTGTCACATGACCTCGTGACGTAGGTTAAGGGGCCCGTTTAAATTACAATCAAATTAACATTCAAACGTTGGTGCGTTTAAACGCTAAAATTAATATCGCGTAACCAAAATTGTGCAAAAAATCCCACAAAATTTTGACAAACGATAAACCGAACATAATAAATCAAAATAATCAAAACATCCAAAATGGCTGACGTAGAGTCCCTTTATACCCAGAGTTAAGACAACTCACTTTTGGTTGGGCTGAAAGTGGCCTAAAAAAAAATCCAATTCTGATTGGTTCTCGCTCATGGAGGCCGAAACGAGTGCACCAAGATGGCGGTACCTCGAATGTGAACAAGAATAATGAAAATATTACCTAATTGTGGTTTATCAAGAGTAAATTGTTATTTCCATTGGTCCAAAATGAAAATAGATTAAGAAATTATTCACAAACCAATCTCATTTTCTTTTTGATTGATCAATTTGTTGATGTTGTTGTTTTAGTGTGACAGACATCGCAGGATTCCTGATCCTTTTCCCTCAATATCGTTCGTTCGGGTGCACTCGTTTCGGCCTCCATGGCCAGGCAAGGCCGGCTGCCAGTCAGCTGATAATCGAGTTGTCTTAACTCTGGGTATAAAGGGACTCTAGGCTGACGTTAAGGGGCCGCTGGAGACGGAGAGCCAATCAGAGGCCAGTTGTTTAGTTCTGTCCATACCTGTGTAAATCTACCTTGCCCTCATCTAGTCATCTTCCACCAGCCGCATCGATGCGCCACTTTGAGAGATCTACTTTGATTGCTTTGATCGTGTGATACGGGCTATACTCTCTGGATCAGCTGGGCTGGGCCACTACTGTTATATCAGTAGTAGCGAAGCTAGCTAGTTTCGATCAGTTTCGATTTGACTGAATGACTGACTTCTTCCTTCCAGCTAATCGTTGCAGCCAGCAGGTCGAATCGTAGTTAGTTTCGAGACACAGTGGTGAAGTGACGTTTCGCCGAAACAGCACATAAGTATCAGAAAGTCTGTGATTACTCAAGTTACAACTAAGCAAGGTATACCATTGTCGGGATTCTTTATTAAGCTTTGCTTGCTCCACCTGCTTGCCCATCAGTTGCCGAACAGATCTCTTGGCCCCAATAATCTGTAATTCAGCATAGGTAATTTCGTATCAGACCCTGCCTTAATAGATTATTTATCCCTTATTGTCTATTTCTACTGTGTTCCATAATTAATTTCTTCTGCAGTTCTGCATTCTTCTCTAAAAAGTCTAGAAATTCCCAGATTACGCACTATAAATGCTTGGCAACTGTAAGGGAGAGATTATGTAAATCTCCTTGTGTAACACCCATGCAAGACATACTTGTCTATCTCTCTGGAAGTTACATGAAAAAACCTAATTTATTTGGGACTCTTTTAGTATTTGCGTCGTTCCTTCTTCCTCACTGTTTTCACTCATAACAATAGGTAGGTATCCATGGAAGAGCGCCAAAACAATCAGCCTCCTTCATAGCTTTAACCCTTGTCAATAACCTTATCTCCATTTTAAGCTTTTTCTCTCCTATATTGTTACATGATTTTTCAATTCAATTTTCAGCATACCCGCCCTAACTCTAGGCTGGTCTCGTATCTCACTTCCTCACCTACAGCAGGTAATATCATATGATGGTAACATTTCTTTCCTGCTACTTAAATTTTCCATTTTTTAAAAGAAGTAACTATTCCGTTTTTCTTTTCCTTTTCCTTTTTCATTTCATAATCAGTATCATACCATTGCTTCTCATAAATATTCATGAAATTGCATCACAGTTTTTTTTCTTTTCCCCTCTTTTGATTGGAATGAGGTCTTTTGACAGTTAGTTGGTAGGTCAAGGTAAAGTTGCTGCAATGGAGGTTACTTCAGTTTAAGTTTCAAGCTCTGTAGTGTCAAAATTGTAGATACTCATCTTCCAATTTGTGTAAATTTATCCAGCTCACAACCCTCCCCTAAGTCCTATTTTTAATTGAAATCCACTTCTCTTTTTCCCTACATTTTAAAGGTCATAAATAAATTTTCAGCACTCTTTCAGCTTTGTATACCTAATTCTCATGGACAATTTGTGAGGCCTCCCCGAAAATTTGTTTTCTCAGAACCACAGCATATTCATGTATTTGTTACCGGCAAACCCCGTTTTTCAGGCAGACCTAGGTCTGCCTAGGCAAACCTAGGTCTGCCTAGGTAGACCTAGGTCTGCCAAGCACCTCGTTTGGCAAACCTAGGATTGCCTGAAAATTTTAGGCAGACCTAGGTTTGCCAAAAGTGATTTTAGGCAAACTAGGTTTGCCAAACGATTTTTTTGGCAAACCCCGTTTCTGATTTCTACCGCTAAAGTGACTTTACCGGAAAACTTTTTCTACCGCTAAAGTGACTTTACCGGAAAACTTTTCTACCGCTAAAGTGGCCTTACCGGAAAACTTTTTCTACCGCTAAAGTGACTTTACCGGAAAACTTTTTCTACCGCTAAAGTGACTTTACCGGAAAACTTTTTCTACCGCTAAAGTGACAGTACGAATTCAATGAGAAACAACTATTTATCCCCACGCAGACCGGGGCGAGCGGTGGTTTATTATAAAAGAATCACAGGTGAGGCTGAATAACAGTGTAACATAATATCACAAGTGCTTAAAACAG